GAATTTGTGACTGACGCTGTTGCATATCTATTTCTGGGAGTTCCTTTCTCAAGTCACAAAAAATGGGGACGACAATGTTTAAATCATATACGCCAACTGATTTACAACTTTTGCAACATGGAATTTACTTTCAATTGCCCCGATATTTAATGCCGTAAAAAAAGCATGTCTTACAACTACACTTGTGTCACACTTGAATTACAGACATTTCTGTCCACAGTCCCACAGTTTCGGGGGACTGAGGCCTTTTCTCCTGTTATTCAGGGACTAAATAAGCACATAAAAGATCTGCAGTGTTGAGATTATGTTTAGTACCTGGTCACTGGAATTCTCTTTATGAGGTCCAAGGAGACCGTGATGTAAAAAATAAACTTGTGTTGCTAGTTAAACGAAATAAACAGCTCTGCAAGAAAGGAAAAACTTTAGCAGTGGCCAAATCAACAATCTGTTACATTTATGAAACGAATGAGTCCACTGACCACAGAAGACAAATAAATTGCAGAATTATTTCCATGGTTGAGAAATCATCTTCACAGCATCCAGTATTTTAGACAATGAACTTTGTGTTGTATTCAAGAATTTGAACTTGAGATTGAGCTCATAAACTCATTAGGAAATTGTTTACTCAGGTCAGCGAGTGAGAGATCAGTAGGGTCATTTGCTCATAAACGTCTATACATCTGGACTTTTTGAAGCTAGAGGAATCCCCTCCTGGTGGACATAAAAAAATAAATCTGCTTTGGATTTACTTTGCAGTCCTGGAGCTTCTGGAAGCTCCATCCTTTATATACAGACTATGACTATCACTTGTCATTTTCATTTAATGTTTCTTGAAGTTCAGACACGATTTGTGTAACTGCAAATCAAATGAGCAACCTTAGCTATTACAACAAGTGCTTATTACATTGACTAGTGACATCAGAAACAACGCTCAATCTTCTCATGCCTTTCCTATCAGCATGGATGCCTATGAGAACATCCGTTACTGGGAGCAGGTTCATCACCCTCACACTCCAGAGATGATGGCCGAGGAGAAGCAGAAGAGGAGGAAGAGGAACTTCCGCCTGGTGGCGTATTGTGTCGTCGCTATGATGCTCAGCATAGGAGCCCATGCCGTCCTCTTCAAGTAAAAACCCCACACACAATACCGACTGAGCATTCAGCATTTTGTATTTAAATTTAAACTGTAAATATTAGAAAGAAGTGTGCATTTGGTAAACTTCCTCTTGCTCACATCCTGTCCTTCGTTGTCCACACTGTGTCCTTTTATTTGCTGCTCATTCACATCCAGATGAATGAGGAATGTTGCGGACGTGTCTCAGTGCCATGTGTGTTGGCACAACCTCCCAACTCGCGGCCTTGAGTTTGCTTTCACACACTGACGTGGTGCCACATGTGTTTGTTGAGATTCACTTCTTTGTGATGTGAGCAGCTCCTCTAACGGCTGTACAAACCCATAAATAAAGAGCGCTGCTGAGTTCTTAGGTTAAGCTCTCTAAAAGGGAATTGTCTACCTCCCTCTGATGCTTTCAGGAAACTGGAAGAAGTTCACACTAACTTCATGGATGAGAAAGACCGAATCATCATAGAAATTTACAATGAAGCCAAAGAGAGGGCGAGGTGTGTGCACTGAGCTTCAGATTCCTTTTTCCCCCTGCTTCTCTCTGATGTTGTTGTTCTGATGCTGTTTCATTTGCGGTTTTTCAGGGTCAATGGTTTTAAGAAGCAAACGGAAATCCTGCGTCAGAAGCACGCGGAGTTTAAGGAGAAATACAAACGCACCGACGTTGGAGACGACAAGTAGCAGATCCTTCAGCTGTGCTCGGTGATGCCAGCAGGCGGACCAAGCTGGCTGTTGTGTTTTAAGATTATTTATTTTCTGACCTTTTTAAAGGTGTTTCCACGCCTGTTTCTGCCCTCAGATGTGATCCTGAAATCTGCAGGGAGTGGGTGTGGTTTAGGGGGAGGGTTCCTCTGGTCATAGATGCTGACCAGGATAAGCTTTTATATTTTATGGGACTCGTTTGTTCCCAAACCTGTTCACGGTTTGTCCACAGGAGCCATAATGAGCTCTATCAAACTGCCCCTAATGGAGTCTCAGGAACACGCTGTTTGCTGTTTATTGTTCTCAGCCTCATTTCTGTTACAGCTGTGCAGCATCTGGAACTCGCATGTGACGGTGAATAATACAACATGACAGCTGATCAAGTTGTGAAGAGAGAGACTCTTATTTGCAGCAATGTTTCATGTTGTTTTAAAAGAAAATGTCTTTGAGCGCTCAAGTGTGGACGCTGCTGTTTAAATTGGTTCACACCTGATATATATTCACAAGTGTTTGATTTTTGGACTTTCTGCACTTCCTGCCAACAAATATCGATTTGTTTGACACAGAAAATCTGGAGAAAAAAGTGCCACTGAGTAAGTTATTTATTGCAAACTGTTGTAATATTATGGAGAAATGCATTTAAAGGAAAGATCACACACACAAAGTGAGCCAACATTTACCATTTTGGCCTCTCAGTCTTTATATATTATATTGTTTTATGTTTTTGCTGCCTTGTTGAGTCCCTCTTGGGACATCTGAGAGAAAGCTTTAAAAGATCTCATTAACCATCCTTTGCTTGATTTCACTTTACTTCTACATGCTTCTTGTTATTTAATGTCTTGCTTATTACCATTTCTTCCCATAGTGTCATTTGTTTCCTGTTACCTTTTAACGAGCAGCAGAGAAGAATCGGTAATGATTCAAATAGATAATTATCTCAGATCTTTGTTTCCCATCACGTCAGTGAAAGTGAATCATACATTTTTAACTTTGAAGACAGCAACGCAGTTATGTTTATTTGCATGTTTGCTTTTACAAACAAGAAAATTTCCAGTGATCATCCAGGAAAGGCGACACCCATTATGAAGTCAAGGCTTGGATTCTTTCCTTCTTTCTTTCTTTTTATTTTGGAAGGAATTGTGTGGGTGTGTAAAACCCTGCATCTACAGCGTGAAGTTTGTTTTTAAGAAAGGATATCGCCCCTTTTCCCTCTCTGTTTTCTTGTCACCAGCGGCCCCTGCCCTGAGACGTCAGCAGGAGATAACATACTGTGTCCCCGCATAGCTCTCAGACACCCTCACCCTCATGTGGCGTGTGAGTACCCTGTCATAACCCAAACACGCCATAATGACTGAGATCCTCGTGTCAGCATGCCTTCACACACACACTGATAGGAGATGAGGCTCAAGAGTTTTCCTGCTAGAGAAGAAAACAGCTCTGGATGCAGTTTTAATTGACTTTTATCTTTAGTTTAATGAGCTGCGAAGAGAAACTGTGTAGAATCATGCTCTGAAATAAAAGCGTGACATGCTCTTTGGAGATTATTTTTTATTGATTAGTTGGATGGGAGGGGCTGAAATCCTTAATTTCCCTCCTTGGGCATTAAAAAGATCATAAAACTGCTCCCAAACCACAATGATCCACCTTTGGGAATCAAAATTGTTTTTATGATTTTAATTATCAGTAAACTCTACTACTGTGCAAAAGTCACTAGCAGCTTTTTTTTAAATATATATTGCTTCCAAGCAGGTAGTTTCTTTCTGAAGGTCTTTCAAACTTTGTCTTTGACTGATTTTTCAATGATTTTCAGTTCAGTCTTTGTGCCTGACTTTTTTCAGAGAAACATTTTGTTTCTTGTTAAGATTCATAACACTGACCTATGACTCAAGCATAAAGCACCTAACTTGAGGGATGAATCACTGTTGTGTGTACATGTAACAGACAACGACAAAGAAAAGTATTTTGCACCGACATCGTGATTCCCAAAAAGCTATTAACTCAAAATATGGCAAATCTTGTCATGTTGTGCAGTGTGTCCTTAAACAATCTGGGAAAGCTGGAAAAGTGGAGGACTAAAGAAGTTGATCCCTCTGCTGCTCACTGAAAGCTCATCAGAAATGTTCTCGGTGAAAGTGTATCTGTCGAGAAACTATTCTTAAGGAAAGGAAACGGTGATAAATGTTGAGGTATGAGAAATTACACAGAACTGGCCAGAAAATCAGGGGAAACAAGTCTGAAGAAGAGATGAATAAATAATTTGAAATTTCTGTTTTAACCCAATCATTGTCAGGATGTATGGAGGAAGTCAGGAGAGAGGTACAGCAGTGATGGCCTACAGCCATCTTGTGAAACACGGTGGAGGCTCTGTCATGGTTCAGGGCCCCATTTCAGTCAGTGGTGTTTGGGATGTTGTCAAAATTAATGGAATTATGAATAGAGAACAGCATTGTCCAATGTTGACCCATGATGCAATACCAACTGGAAGGGATCTGATTGGCAGCTGCTTCATTTTTCAGCATGAAATAATTCCAAACCCACTGCCAGTGCAGTGAAAGCACACCTGGATAGAAAAACACTAACTGGAACACTAACAGTGATGGAGCGGCCTCTCCAGAGCCCAGACCTCAACATTATTGAAGCAGTGTGGGATCATCTTAACAGAGAACAGAGCAACAGACGGCCAACGTTCAAAGCAGAGCACTGAATGTCCTTCAATAAGTCTGGAGAAGCGTTCCTGAAGATGACTTCATGAAATGTTGCCTTCAGGTTAAGGCTGCATAAAGGTGGTCAAACCAAATATTAACTTTCAAGCTTGTTAGAATTATACAAACTCTGTTTTTGTCTTATATACTGTATTTCCATGTATGTTTGTAGATGTTTCCATAAATCACTGCACCTTTTTACCATTTCCTCAAAAAACTATAAATAAATGAAGTGTTGCCCAAGACCTTTCCACAGTTTATCAGTTCTACTTGACACTTTGTTTTGGGCTCTTTTTATTTGAAAAATGCCCCTTGTCATTTTCTTCTCACAGTGGATGGACAGCAAATATGTAAATAATAAAGTGAATAATGGCTGACTTTGATTTACCTGCTTTACTGTCAAGACACAGTGGAATATTTGAAGAGAACAGAACAAATCATTCGTCAGCGTTATTAGTAACACCTAAGCTGCATTCCTACCGCGACGTGTCAGTCTGTGTTTACAAGCAGGGTCACTGTGCATTACAGCCTTTGGTCATGTTGGCTTGTTGAGATGAGAAATTCCTTGTAAATAACTTCTATGATTAAACTGAAGAAAATGTTTATCAATCATCAGCTCGTTGCTCTCAGTATGTGTTGGATTGCAGATAAGTGTGCACCAGCTGAACTCTTAAATCATTGGCATTACTTTGATTAAATACAACATTTCACTAAAGTGTAATTTTAAGGAAGTTATTCATTGAATAGAAAAGTTATAAAGAATTTAGATATTACTGTGTCACCATGATCTATTTCCTAGCAAGGACAAAAACACTCTCAGGAATCAAAGTTTGGTGATTAAACACTTCTTCTTTGGCAAAACGTAATCTGTTTTAAGTATACTCTCATAGGACTACATGTTATAAGATGGCATCTTTAAATCACAGTCTTTCTTATGGATAAGTAAGAAAGCCAGTGGACAGCTGGCCCCCTTTAAAAGAAAAATGCCTCAACTGATGCGCACGACAATCACCATTTTCTAAAAATGTAATCCCCTTATTGTTTAGCCTCCATATTCACATGTAAATACTAAAATATGTCCCCTGCCACTGACACGACCTTGGTGTCCTCAATCATACTCCCCACTTACAAGAGGCCCCTGGAGGCCCCCTGACCCCCCGCTGTGGGACCAATAGAGACACTCCACCTGTGTGCAGTGCGCCTATCCTGTCTGGAAAAAGTTGGCAGCGCAATGGTTACGCTGCGTGCGTCTCAAGGGCAAACAGAAGCGAGGAAACCGATCACAGCAACAAATGAAGGTCTACCTTTCCAGACCTGCCTGTATCTTCGCTCTGACTGCTCTGCTGTAGTCACGCTGTCTGCCACAGCAGCCGAGGATGTTATTCTGGGTTTATTTATAAGGGGAGTGGGAAAAAAACGGGAAGATGCGCCTGGAGGGGAAACGTCACATTTTCAGTAGGAGCGACGGTGTGGTGAGACTGTGACCGAGCCGGGGAGAGGAATATGCGGCACATACCCTCCGCGCGTCGGGCCAGGGCGTCGGATCTTTTCCGGATTAACGTCCTATAGCTGGATGATGCGATTTCTTTCTTCAGACACACAGGATTTGATGATCGCACCACGTTTAAGCGGGAATCTGTAGCCTGTGTAATCCCCCAGTAACGCCACCCCGGACCCCCCGGACCGGTTTCATGGGAGCCGAACCAAGAGGCGGACTGTGCTCATAATCACTACAGGAAAGCATCACTTTAAAGTTCTTTCAAGTTTCTGGAAAAAGGATAAGGATTTGGCTGCTTTGGTGCCACATTTAACATTATAAGAAAGCCATAGTTTGTGCAGGGAAGGTCATTTCAGTCTACAGTGTCTCACTAATAGAGGATTTAACTGTCATAGAGTTCATATAGAGAACTGAGTCCTAAATCATTCGAGCTAAAATGCGACACAATAAAGTTATTGTTACGACCCTGATGATGCCACCCTGGGAGTCCTTTCAGGGAAGGGAGACTGGAGAGTGAAAGCGGGATATCTGCGCCTTTATTCGGACACGGAGGCGACGCAAGGAGGACAAGCCAGCTTCTTTTTTTGGATTGGTCCAAAAAATATTTTTTGCGTGCCCCTTGGACTCCTGCACAATGGGGATTATGCTGCAAGTTATTCTAGGAATGTTTCAATTCCTGCTGCTCACCAGAATACCGACTTCTCACGCCAAGGTATGTATGTATGGATCATTTGACCTACTATATATATATCTATATCTATATCTATATATATTCCTGGTCTGTTGGAGCCTGGTGGGAAGTTGTAACCTTGTGGAAGTTATCCTCTGGGTCAATGACACCTGTCACTTCTGGTCCTGTGGCAGAAAAACACAACGAAACCCTCCGAGATTAAACGTGGCTTTCAGTAATTACTTTAATGTGACATCCGGCTTCATTGTCTCCTCTCACACCAACATAATTCAGTGATACTTTATATAAAGCATGCTTTCTGGTGAGTGTATTGACTGTTTTGCACACTTTGGCCTGTTAAAGCTAGGTCGATTAATTATAAGCCATTCACAAGGACAGTGATTGAGTTGCCAGGTAGTGGAAAATCCTCCTCCAGCAGCGCAGTTGCTTTGTTTCTGTTAGCTTCATTCATCAAATGAAACCCTTTTGCCTTTTGGGAAGAAAAGATGGAGGACATGGGGACCAGAAAAATCAATTTGTGAGCTCATTATTATTAAAGGAGCCGTGCAATGTGTTGAACTATATGTATCTCCAAGCCCATTAGCTTAACATAAAGACTGGGAACAAAGTGAACAGCTAAGTTACCCCTGCCTACCAGTACTACTATACATTCCTAATTAACGCATCTGATCTCTTTTTGATCTATGGAAATAAATTATACATGATTATGGCTGAGAGCAAGAATCTCCTGGATTCATTTATTACCAACTTACAGCAACAAAATAATGAATATTTATAAATAATAACAGATGCCGGTTGCTGGAATTGTGGGTGTGTAGGCTGGGTCAGATGACAGACCTGATCCAATCTAGCCTTTCCAGCGGAAGGCCAAGCTAATGAGGGAGCTCCATGCTTACTGTGCTGACCTGAAGGGCATTAGTAATGTTTTCATACACATAGGCGTGTGTGTGTGTGTGTGTGTGTGTGTGTGTGTGTGTGTGTGTGTGTGTGTGTGTGTGTG